TACTCTACTCTACTCTACTCTACTCTACTCTACTCTACTCTACTCTAGAAAGGCCTCGGGGGGGGGGGGGGGGCTTTGAATGAGAGAAACTGCAGTAAAAGAATAATACTTTCCATTACCAAAGCACTCGCCAGTTAATTCCACTGTGCATTGGAGGAAAGCCTGAGAGGACAGCGTGTTCAACCCTGCTGACACCACCGCACACAAACTATATTTGCACACTGTAAGAAAACCTTGATACATACCTCGTTGGTTTATCCAACAGAAATAAGGCTGGAGCAATGTTTGGATCCATATAGGAACATTTCTCTTTGTCCTATTTAACTAGGCGAGATCCGGTTGACTGCCTCAGGGTGTCAGTGACAGCGCTCCCTCCTGAAACCCTATCAGAGTATTTTTAAACAGCAAATGGCTCCTCTGAGCATCCTGTATGGCTGTGAGCACTTCAATAGTAACAGAAGCTGTCTTACAACACTAACAGGGAGGAAAGGTTGCTCAAGCTCATCTTGTATTGTTAAGTGCTGCCAGGAGATGGTTTTTTTCTCACACCATCAATCCTGACAACCCAACACGTTTGTGCATGAAACATGTGCCGACATACAGCAGGGATTCAAGACAGAAAAAGAAGAAGTGTGCGAGGTAGAAACCGTGTCTTTTGTGTTTTGTTAAATACGGGTTTCCGTCGATGCTACGGTGGACAGCTGGGAGCCGAGATGCCGTGCTGGTATGGCGCGGTGTTGTTGTGATGTGGTTGTTCTCAGTACAGTGCATTTGTCGGGGTCGTTTGGCTCTCTGCGGAGTGCCCGGTAATTTGCCAGATGCAGCAATTATTGGTATCTATGGAAACCACAAATGGTCCCTTTGCTGTTTTTAGCAGGAAAGGAAAAGGGGGGGGGGGGGGGGCAGGATGAAATGGTGGCGTTTAGAAAGCAGACAAAGTGCCTCTTTGATTGCATGTTTATGTGAGGAAGGAAAGTGTGAGGGGACATTAGAGACTGGGGCGAGGGTATGACAAACGCATGAACAGATCTATAGATCTTCTGTTAGCAGAGGTGCTTTATAGAGGAAGTCACTCACTCTGCCTCTCGGGCTTGTAAAACCTGAGTCAGCTTAGTCCAGGGGTTGTAGGCTGAATCGATGCTGTACAGACGCATGTGCATGGCCAGCACATGGAACAGCTGATCTGCAAAAACAAAACACCAAAACATATCATTGTCACATTCCTGACAAGGTCTGACAGGAACAAACCCAGAACGTGTCTGTTTATCTCAGTGCCCATTGTCACGCTCCACCAGCAATCAGCGCTGATCAAATGATGGAAGCAGCTGACGTGAACCGACTGCAGGCTAATGGTTTGGCTCGGATAGAAACCAGGTCAGGCCAGATGGATACATGGTAGCGCTCGATAGCCTTGAGCAACTCTTTGGTCTGGTCACACCTGTTCATTGTGAAACTAATGGAACATGAGGAGAGACCCCCTGCACACGCACGCACACGCACACGCGCACGCACGCGCACACACACACACACACAATCTCTTGTGTAAACACTAGCTTTTAATAGCAGGACATTTCACAGCCTCCATTGTCTTAGTCCAGAGCAAACCTGTTACAAGTACCAAGATCTATGACATCACAGCAAACATGGGCAGAAGGCAGGAAGTCGTTTTAGATGTTAAGTAATAAAAACAATCCAAAGTGAAAACATGTTCTTGTCTTTCTTATTAAAAAATGAACCAATGTATTCTTATTATGAACTGAATCCAAGTCCTCCAAAAGACAGAAATTAAAAGAGCATAAGAGCGATAGATCCCATATGAACCGGCTCCACTAAACCAACTCCTTTTCAATAAGCAACACTAATCCTATTTGATTTTGTTTTACAGGGAATTAGGATGCTGTAATGCAGCGAAGTGCTTCAAATAATCAGCTCTGCAATTTGACTTTTGTGAGCGGTCGATACCTGGAGCAACACTGCCCTCCACAGGCAAACAAAGACACGACACGAGGAACGCAAACGTGTCCTTTGTTGCATCCCATTTGTCCTTCTCATTACGGCTGGGTTTGTTTGCCAAGCCAATTAAAATAGCCTGTTATATGCTATAAATAGATTCCCATTGCCAGCATAGATGAGTTTGCAATGATAAAACTGCATTCAGATGTTTGTTCACTTTCTGTGGCAGGTATTTGACGACTGCATGGGTCCTCTCGGGGCATATGATCATACAGTGGTCTACGTGTAACATCTTATCAACCACACAACAAATAAGGGGGTTAAATAATACAAATACAGCTGTCAGCACTCACCAAGTACTGAGACCAACGTGTTCAACGTGCCCTTTAACTCCCCACACAGCAGCAGCCACAGAGTCCCCGAGATTAATTCAAATGTTTGCAGTTAAGTAAACCAAGGACGTGCCATTTGGAGGCTGACTCTCCAGAGTGGATTTAGCCCATTTCAAGGGAATTGCAGGCAGCTTGCCCCGCGGTCCATCGTATCCTCATCAGTGGAACTGAAACAGTGCCTTCTGGGTAAACAGGCTTAGGAGCCCCATGAGCTCCGTTAGCACACGTCTGCCGTTTTCACTTCAAATCCATTTGCCTAAGAAGAGCGAACGCTAATGTACTGCAACTGAGTAAATTTGGCCGTCAGCATGGCTACGTGGTTAATGTAGCTCAGAAATGGCAAGACTCCAATGTGAAATCTCTTTTCAGCCACTCAAGGATGACAGGCCATTTCAGTGCAGCAGCCCCCAAACTCTGGCAGGATAATTAAACAAATATAAAATGGGGTGTAGTTTGTACGGCAAACTTATTTCTGACGCGTTCATATCCACAAATATTGAATACGTCGTCAATATAGTACATTTTGGTAGTGGCTGATGTTTGGCACATGCCCTTGTCAACTGTGACACAATCAACTAAAACAGCACTTGACCCATTTGACTGCTTCATTTAGCTGCCAACAGCTCACCTGGGACAGCATCTATCCTTGCCTGCCGTTGCTAATCGACCATTTGTTTGTTTCTTTTTATGGTTCAGCGGTTACACAGAATAAAAAGTTTGAGCTCCAGTCAAGACACGTTATTACAGAGAGGCTCATAGGAAATGATGCAGCCACCTGCAAGAACACGCCACTTTAAATCGTCAACCTAAACATCTGACATAGCTCAGCATTAAAATACCATTTTAGTCAAACAGCAGTGAAAACTAACAGAAAAGTTAAAACAGTCAAAAATCTGCAGGAATTAAAAAAAAAAAAAAAAAAAAAAAAAAAAAAAAAAAAAAAAAAAAAAAAGGGACCAAAAAAGGTATTCCCCTTGAACCAACACATCAGACTTAACACATTGCATATTAGCAAACACATAAGACTCAGAGGAGGGAATGTATTGTGAGATATGAAAGATGAAGAGGTTTAACAGTAGCTACTCACTGAGACACGAGCGTTTGGCGGATGCACTGGCCCCTCCAGAACACAAATTTCCTCCCCGGTGCACAAGTTCCAACTCCAGGTTGGTCCTGAGGAGACAGAGCCATGACTTGTGTTAGGACAACAGTTCCACAAGTGCATACATGTAAAATACACACACAGACAAACCAACCCTACCATAATTGTCACGTATACCTCTAAAAAAAAAAAGGTATATTATAGCTTAAAGTGATCATTTGCCAATCACTAACCCCATGCCAAAAAGATTTCCACATGTTTGCACAGTTCATGTTGTACAGTTGCTGATCAGTAAAGATGGGGTTCAAACACTAGCCCGCCCAGGGACAGTTTAGAACCCACGTTCACCCCAGACAGCCATTAAAGCAGAGTGTGTGCGCGCGCGTGAGAGAGAGAGAGAGAGGATGGAGGTATTGCTATAAATGGCTGAGTGTCATCATATTCAGCGTTTGGTTACGTAGCCTGACATTTTTACCAGTTTGATTAGGAAGATGAAAGACGCTGCCTAGTGGAGCCATTTGCTGCGCCTGTTTTGAAGCAGCAATTCCGTATCAAGTAAATGACAGCTTTCCCAAGACTGATTTTACACAAGCTGAACTATTAGCATAAAAGCTGTTCCAACCACAGTTCATGCATAATCCCCAATGTGCATTTCCCATGCATATCCTAACACATTTCACTCCTGAATCTTAATTCCCCATCACCAAAACAGTGAAAAAATAAACTAAAAGCTCTCACAAAGTACATAGATGGAGGAAGCTGATAGGTATTATTAAAATAAGACTGATCTGGGCCCGTTTTCATCTCGCCAACGGCCATTTTTTTCTATGGGCCAGGGAGGTGGGGGCAAATCCGCGGGTTTCCTGGGAGAAAAAAAAGCAATTTCACATAGATAATGCAGCCACGGTGAAGCTCCATCTGGCTTTTGCTGATAAGAGTGCCCCTGTGACAAAGGAATTTTCCACTCCTCAGGCAATTTGCGCTGTTCATTGAACTTCAGAGCGCCAACAGGCTCCCAGACACACTTAGGGGATCTTTCTGTTCAGGGCGGAGGGCTGAGGGAACCACAGCGTTGGGTGGGCAAAAAGGTCTTGATGGTTGTGCTCCTGGAAGGGCAGAGTTTTTGGAATGGGAGGGGTGAGAAGTGAGAGACCCCGAGGTGAACTGAAGGCCAGTCAATTCTCTGATCTGAGACTAGCTTGTTGAGAAGATACATATACCTGAGAAAGAACTGTAATTGGTTTTCAAGATCATGTTTCTGGCCTTTTACAGTATGTGTCTTAGGCTCACCCCAAGACGCTCCACAAAAATGTAATATAAAAGAGCTGTGTGAAGGACCACTTAAAAGATCAGCTGTCCATAATAACTAAATCCATACTCAAGTCAGGCCTAATGAGTGAAGATAGAGCAAGAGTCAATACCATTTTACTGCAGCCTGTAACGACAGAGCGGCTAATGCTACTTCAGACGGGTGCTGTTCTTGCAACACTTCCAGGACCGACGCAGCGGTAGTATGAAGAAAAGACGACACCTTCACAGACCACCGGACGAGTTTGAAATGCAAAGCGATCAATATATTTAGTGCGAGTGCTGGGCAACAACGGCCGTATTGAATTTCAGTTCCATGTCAAGGCACCTCTCTGGATTAATATGCTAACAAAGCAAGAATGTGACGATGAGAGAAGAGCCTACTGTCTTCTTGCTCGGCCGATCATTGTTATACAAGCCGAGGAAGTGGCATTAAAGAGAGAAGCCGAGGAGCAGACATTCGGCCCGCTGGTCTCAACAGTCAGATGTGTGTGAAACTGTGTGAGGTGGTGCACAAAGAGGAAGACTCGCTAAGAGACAACCCAATATGACCAAGTCAGGATGTTCTTTGATAAACTTCAGGTGCGTGGAATTAATCAGTCTCTATCTAACTGGATTTTATGAAATTCACAACCTCACTTGAGTGATTACATGCCCATCATCACCTCCAAGAATAAGAAGTCGTGAATTACATTTTGTTTAAAATCTACATAATCCTTGTTATTAAGAAGGGTACCGAGATATATATTTACGTATTTGTTATATTGTTTCATACTTTCTCTTTCTTTATCATTTCTTGACTTTTTCACCGTCTTTATTGTTATGCACCAAAACACAAAGACACATTCTGAGTATGTGCAGGCCTACTTGGAGATAAAACCGTTTCTGATTCTTCCATGAGCGGAGTCCCATGTACACTCAGTGAAACTCTGTCCTCACCTTGCCACAGAGTACATGAAGAGGAAATCATTGTCGGGGGAGCCGGGGTTCTTGCCGTAGTCCATGTACTTCTTCTGGGTGGTATTCTTGATGTCTTTGATAACCAGCTCCATCTCTTTACTCAAGTTGGATTCTGTCTAAAATACAGAAAAATTAAAATAAAGTCAAAATCATTTCTTGAATACATTGAAACATTTGTACTTACTGGCACAAGAAAATGCATTATGTAGGAGACAGACACTGAATTAGAGCTACGTCCACAACCTTCTTGTAGTGTCAAACTGAGTGTTATCAAACATATCCAATAGCAGGGAACGAGTCACACTTTATCCTTCCTTCCTTTCCTTGTTCTTTATCCCCTCCATAGGCAGTTTAGGATATTCAATAAAATTAGCTTGTAGCATCAACATGCAATAACTATCTGCCTCACAAAAGACACTGCACACAGTAGCATTCAATCATGTATAGAACAGTCCTGTTTCCATCTGCATCAAAAGTCAACACACCCGACAATTTGAAATAGGCAGATTGTTTCTCGTAATCACAATCACAGTCGTATGTTGCCACTTCTTGGTAATGAGTTGACAGTACAGTTAAAATACGGGGTAGTTATTGTAAAACTTACCGTGAAAGGGCCAAGTTTCTCCTGAAGATCTTGCACCTCCTTGACAAGCACAAACGTCTTCTTGTTTGTGGGCGTGTGCCAGGCACCAGCCTCTGTGCCCCGCCCGGGGCGGCAGGGAAGAACACTGTTGGCAAACTGTCGACACAGCGGGCACGTAAACTCACCCTTGTCAACAGAGAAACCCTGGAGGACCTGGTCATTCTGTAAAGTTTGAACAGGAAAGTTAAATGTGACAATCTAAACTTGTCGCAATCTAAACTTAAAATTTGAACAGGAAACGCAGGACTGAACAAGGTATTCAATTTTTGATCATATGTAAGTAGCTCTAATCAGTTTGGTCTATTCACTTGACTCATGACTTCAATAATTAATCAATTGTCAAAATTGTCATTGATCAATTGTCTGTCAAACAACTACTGTAATGAGATGACGAATCATTTCATAAGGTCAGGTTCTCTCTCACCCTCAGAGACTCCATGTATGACTTGTGGCAATCGATATGCAGAGTGTGTCCACAGGTCTGAACGTAGACGCCCCCGTCCCAACCTATCGACACAGACTGCAGACAAGAGCTCTGCAGTCACATAAGAAAAATCACGTCAATTAGAGCATGCAAATACGTCTTCAAACATTCAACCTCGTGGACCTTTTGTTTATATTGAGGTGCTGATAAATAAATCAATTTTTTTTAAAGTTTGAATTACCTACCTAAGACGAACACTATTGATGAGGTATGTTCACGCGAGCATCCTTTAACGGCCAATTAGACTTTTTATTACATCAAATCCAATTCAACTTGTGTCATCATTTTTTGCTTTGGACTTGTATTGCAAGCTAATCGATACACAATGAGAAACTAGTGAAAGCAGCTCGGTCGAAGCAATTTTCAATGAAACTTTTTAGTGATGACTTTTGAATTAGTTTGCTGCCTACTGGTATATGCATTTGTATTCTACCGTTTGTCTCACACAATACTGTCTTTAAAGGGATGTTGCGTGTTAGCTGCCCTATAATGTAACTACCACTAGCATTTAAGAAATGCATTCTATAAAAAAGGACCATCTGACATCCTTCAGTCACACACACTCACACTCACACACACACACACACACACACACACACACACACACACAAATGTACATTCAGCCTATTCCTCTCCGGCATAAAGCTGCCAATATTTTCTGAGACACGTACATCTTTGAAGAAGCTTTGCATGAGCGTGAGCCGGACATCATGAGCCACTCCGCACGTGTCCGCAGCGTAGATGTGCTCTTCGTCACTAGTCGGTAGCTTCTTAGCCTCTTTGCTTTGGCAGCGGTGTCCGAGCACTGAAAGACAATCACAGATGTCAGTTATGAATTATGATGTGATGATAAATCTGTCTAATTTATTCAGTATATATATATAAAAAAAGGATTGGGATTGTCATTACAAGATGGATTATTTATTTATTGATCATTTAAATTTCAAAATATCAGAAAAATAATAAATTTTTTTCATTCTGCTCACCAACCTAAACATAGTCTTGTGAGATACTTCCGCCTACCAATCATCTAGGGATCACTAAATGTAAAGTTGTTGCTAGAACGGCTGCCAACAAACCTTTGTGTGTTCATTAGCACGTTAGCGGAGCAGCTGTAGCAACAAGAGTCTCTGGTACGACCGTGTTTAAAAGCACATGACTTCATCATGTCACCACGCAGATATGAAGGGTTGCCCTAAGGACTTTGGATTGGTTTATTTTTTAACTATAGTTGTTTCCACAGTTTTAGCGATGTTACCAGAGAGATTGTCTACAGTCTCTAGTTGAGCGAAGCGTTTAGAGAGCGACAGTCAAAGATATTCAATTAACAATAATATAAAACAATTAATCTTCACAAAGCAGCAGCTGTGAAAACTGAAAAGCTGGATCCAGTGAATGTCTGGGATTTTTACATGTTGATAAATAACTTGGAACAATGAATTGATCATCAATAAAAGAAGGGCGGTTCATTTACCTTCCATCAGTCGACTTATTGTTTCTGCCCTGCGGTATGCTTTACCGTTAGCCTTTCAGTGTGAACAATGACTGATAAATCAGACACAATCTGGCATTCAACAACCACGAAAGCAAAATAAATGAGGATGGTGTCTGGTCACCCAAAAGGACGATTTAATCGTATGCTGCTATGGACCCACTGTTGGTCACTGGTGGCAGATTTGATGCGTTTTCTGACGTTCAGGTCTTCTGAACCGTTTTACAAGGTGACTAATTACTAATCAGACATACCATTTATTTGGATGCCAGCGAGTGATCCTCTGTCCACATGAATGGAAAAGAGTGAACCTTCTATAATGATAGACTCCATGTACAAGTGAGCAGGGATGAACGTGAATGATAAATGAGCCAATCAAAACAACAGTTAACCCACCTATAAATAAAGATATGCTCATCAAAGGTGCCGCCATTAAGAGTTTTGGTTTAAAAGGCAAGATTGCTAACAGAGATTTAAAAAAGGTCATGGGTGGTTGTTTAAGTTGTACTCCAGTAAAGGCATGTGTCCTGTGTAGGTTATTAATTTCACCATGTGAGAATGAAAGGGGAGATGCTGTACCTGAGGATGCTTGGAGGAGAACTACCAGGCCGGTGGGTCTATCCTCGGTGGATGGTCCGCTTTGGCCACAGATCACGCAGTCATACAGAACCTCAGACTCCATCACTTCAGACCCTCCCAGGTCCATGGCTGCCTCAGTGTCAGGGGATTCTAGCACACACACAAGTACAAATCCTAAGGTCGCAAAAGCTTCTCCTTAAAAATGTTCAAAGGTTATAACGTGAAAACGGATAAACTGCAACAGCTAAATTAAATTATTACTAAATCATGGGGGATCTTTTTTGAGGGGAAACTGAGAAGTTATTCAATGATCTGTACGCATTAAAGCATCCAATGGTGTGAAAAACACTTGAGAGGTAATGTGGTCTGAAAGGCCACATACCAGGCCAACGCCACATTCAGTTACACAACACTGCTCCTTTCTAATTTACACTGAAAATAGCCAATTCTAAGAAAACACTTCTGACTGATATTTTGGTGCGTTTCATAATTCCTGTGGGTGGTTTCCCCACTACAGGCAGTCAAGGGAAGAAGAATGTAGCACGTTACATCGATCAACACTGGGAACAGACGTAAACTCACTCCTGGCCACCCCTATATCTGCATGATTGGCACAGCACTCGGAATTAAACATGTGAAATGACTTCTAAATGTTAAGAACCGTGTTCAATCTGAGGAGTAAATATTGGGGACAAATGTCTAGCTGTGTCAGAAATTGATTTATTGCTTTCTGGAAGAATATGTTCTCAAGAGAGGTCACCGTGTTCCTGGGGAAATGAAAGATGCATTAGATGTCAACAACACCACAGCTTTAGCCCCGGGACATCCCAGTAAACGGAGTCACCCCCCCCCCCCCACGAAAAGGTAAGGCAACAAGGACACACTAACTGTTGGTGAGCTGCTGTGTTATGCTTCCTACAGTATACATTAGTGAACTCTCTTAAAAGGTATCGTATGCTAATGGAGTCATTTGTCTTCTCTCAGCCTGTTAAAGGATGACCGTCTCCTTGCAGATCGGTTTGGGATAACTTGTTCAGGTTGAGACAGATCCATCTTTGAGATCTCTGCCTCCACCCCAATACAATACAGGTGAATGGAATTTGGTGTGTGGCACTGGCACTCTGAAATATGATTTTTAAAAAACATTCAACTGCAACAGCTCTTTCAAGTCAGCGCGTCCACGTTACTCTGGGGACTACTTCGGTAGAAAGCAGGTGCAATTAAAACTCAGTGAGCTCTGTTGATTATTCTGAGTGACGGGGACACTATTTCGGGAAAGACATTCATTTCTATAAGTACAACATAAGAAGATCCATTCACCTGCATTTTATTGGGATGGAACTATTTTATTTCAGAAATATCTGAAAAGCTGGGCAAATAAAACTAAAACTAATTAATGACTGGGACAATGTTTTTACGGAATTTGATTGATTGATTGATTACTTTTATAATAAATATAATCTAATAATTATACATATCCAATATTATATTTTATCATTTTTATTATATAATTATATTGACTATAACTGATTTAGAATTTGAGTTGCCTGATAACTTTTACAATTGAAAGGTGCTCATGGAATAGTTACGGCAATAGCTGGCTGGAATGTTTATGATCTAAACATCTATAATTAATGTTTGATATTGTTATTAATTATGCATTCTGGCTTCAATTCACCACCCGTGTCCATGCAGGTGCACACAGCCTCCCGTCAGGTGTGTTTCTATAGATCACCACGTGTGAAGCTAAGATTAACATTAGAACTGAAGTTCCTAATATCCTAAATATATTTTTAAATTGTTTTTTTTAAATCTGCAAACATCTTACATTCACTTGATTTAACTTGTTATCTTCCCATTTAAATCTTACTTCGGTACATGACGCAAAGCGAGCAGCGAGTTTGAAGTAAAGCAAGTAAAAGTTACTACTCAGCAGGAAGTGTGCAGAGGAGGTCACAATACAGTCCGGCCGGAATGGTCCGCGTGATCACAGCAGCCATTATTCATTCACTAACAATGACGTGTCATGGTGGGCCCTCGGAGTCCAGACCACTATTAGCGCTTTGATCCTATGTGACCTCAGCCAACGGCCACCCAACACTGGCCTGCAGAGACTCGGCCCACTGTCACCTTGCCCCAATGAAAACGTACAGCAATGTTTATTTCAGCCAACTGCACTGTTCTTCTAAAGCTACAGCAGCAAGATGTCCTTCAAACTAAATAGTGTCGCTGTGTGTTTTATGCGTTATAAGGTCCTGTTCACCTCAGAACCAACCCAGGATGAGAAGCACAGTCTATCATAGAGGTTGTTGCAGCTGTACTCGGTCCTGACGGCGTCAATATCCAGAACAGGATATGTGCAAAGTGCAGATTAGCAAGTTAGTTTGCGTAATTGTACGAAGGAGGAGGCCTGCAGTTAATAAAACAGCGCCCAGAGAAATGAGTTCATTTCACTAGAACTAAACTAATAAACAAAATAAAGTAAAAATGAATCATATGCATGTTTTAAAACTCACTGGATTAGACACAAATGAGAAGTTTAGGTGCCGTTGTTAAGCACCTTCACCACACACACCTCACCTTATTTACGCTCGTGTTAACGATGCAACGACGAGTTAGTAACTCAAAAAAATACATTTGCGATACTTGGCTCGCCTGTTGGGCTGAACAGCAATAAGCTAGAGACAGTAGGGTGAATACTGCGCTTTGATTTACAACTAGTTACTGCGAGTGTGCCAAGTAAAGCCTGTGGGAGCACATCTGCTGCTGCTTTCCTGTTCTGCAGAGCATCCGGCCATGATAGGGTCCTCTTTACAAACTGAATATTTTCAGTGACTGATGTGTTAATAGTTTAAAGCTCTAAGACCACAAAACTGAGGCAACAAGTCTCTTTCTTACCAACATCCATGGCTGTTTCCATGAAACTCTTCTGTCTGGAGGCAAATTCAGCGAGCAGCTTCTGTTGTCTCTCTCTTGCTCTCTGACGTCTGAAAGAAGAATATGCAGTGTTTAACTCGAGTCCAAAACCAACTGAATACTAATTTACATACAAGGCGCAAAAACAAGGTACAGAGTCATAAAAGTCTATCAGAGTCATAAAAGAATCCCTCTAAATAAACACTCATGACACACTAGAGGCGTCTCTTGTGTCTGCAGAGAACTTTTACATCCTTTAAATTCTCCTAGTGATATTCTTTTAAAGGAATTCAATAATTTCCCCCGCAGCATGTGCAACAGATGCTTCCATGTAGCTGTGGACGCCGTTATAGTCACACAGCAGGTGTCCGATTTTTAACAAGGCCATGTTGTAAAAGTTGGAAAGGTTGATTATTGAACTAATACAGCGGGCTGAGCCGTAGCTCTGCAGGCTTCCAGGCTGAGAGCGGACTGTAAATTAAGTCCCTAATAAGAGGACATAAACAAATGCTGACAGGAACGTCACAGCTCAATAATCTTCACTGATGGCTTCAGGGGCGCCAGCAGCCTGCGTGAGGAATGGGCGGCGGCGGCTTCTCGCTGCCACTGACCGCACTGCTGCCTGACGGTTGCCTTGGAAACAGCACTTTACCTTTTGTCTGTGGGGTGAAGCCGACCCCCAAAAGCAGACAATTATTAAACGGTTATAGGCCGTTCCATCATCGTTAGAGGAGGGAAATGGGAGACACGGACTAGTGGGTGAATGTGGAGAGGAGAGTCAGAAACAAAAAATAAGATCTTTTGACGTCTTCCCAAATACATTCAAATTCAGTAAATTTGGCTTAAAAAGAAGTATAAGCTGTGCTGCTGCTTCGGCCACTCATTGCTGGTAATATAAAGAATATTTGTTTCTCAACCACAGCGAAGAAATAATGAGCGATATTAATATGCAGCATGGAGCTGTGTGCGATTATGTTACCTCTCTTCCTTATCCATGGTTTTCTTGTCAGCGGGACTGTTCTTCTTCGGTGGCACAGGAGGACACACCTTTCCACAAATGTCCTGGATGCTACGCTTGATCTGGCAGCTGCGCGCGGCCGCCTTGGTGAGGATGCGCTCGATGGCCGTGATGCCGTCTCCGTGAGTGTGGCGGCTCGTGTCCATGTCCTCCAGCCACGTTTCGGACAGGGAGTTTTGCTTGGACGACAACTTCTGGTGGAGCTTGATGAGGAGGGACAACATGCTCTCCCGGATCTCCAGGATCTCCGTCACCAGCTGCGGGGGTGTGCCCGGTGGGACCCAGCGCGTCGAGGAGCTCTTGGGCCTCACAACCTGGGTGGCTTCGGTGTTGCTGCGGTTGATGATCTCCTGGAACTTCCTCCTCCGCTCCGCTACGAGGCTGAACACCTGAGCTTCACGCAGGTTCTAGGAAGCGCACAGAACAGCAGAGATGTTTTTGTGTGAAACGCCTTACAACATCATGAGAACGGCAGTGTTAATGCCATGCCCTATGATCAACGCTATACGGACACACTGTAAAACACATGTGGCACATAGATAAATGATGTCCCACGCCAACAGAATTCATCACAGCACATAACATTACAAGTATCAAGCAGACTTCATATCAGCAAAACATGCAGACGGATAAAAAGAGAAAGCTCTTGTGACCAGCATCCCTTTATTCCACCATGAATCTGTGTGCCACGTCTTTGAGCACAATCTCCTAAAATGACATCACTGATGGACTTTGATGGATTGGAGGGCCGCTTCATTACCATAGTCAGACGAGCACAATACACATAAAATGAAACGCTCATTACAGGATTTTAGCTGGCCACAAATAACTTTGCCGATAGCAACCAGAACAACCGTATTCCTGCAGAGAACTCAAGTCATCGTGATGGGCACACACAAGCCTTCTGGAGGACAGCCATGACCTGACCTGACAGAAAGGACCTGAGCTGCACTGTTCAATAGAAATATATAATACAGCCCAGTCAAGGAAACATCAATCATACTGCCATGCGGTTAAAAAGCGGTTACCCAAACCTGCATCTCACATGTAATTAGTTTCAGCAGTCAGGAGGGAAGGAAACTGCTGAAGCGCAGCATTTTACACACACACACACGCACACACACTAAGGCAGACTTCCTTTGGAAAGCACAAAATAAAGTGCAAAGAAATTCTTTCATGATTCCGATAGCAAAAAAAGGTAGACAAACACAGCTGCAGGCGGCATCGAAGCCGTCAGCCCATTTATAGAAATGGATAGCTACCTCTCTCCAATTCCCTGAAAGACGTCTGGAGGTCTGTAGAGCAAGTGCAGCAAAACGAACAACGACAATAGGAATGATATGAAAGAGGAACATGAAGGGACCAAACAAACAACTAAAGATGACACATAAACCATATGCATGGCAGAGCGAGCTCAAAGGAAATGTGACAAAATGTAATGTGCGAACATTGAACATGAAAAAGAAAGGGGAGCACCAAAGTAACTAGGATGTATCCCATAGGGACCATGAACATTTGTACCAAATGTCATGATTATCCATCTTAAAAATCTGTGAAAAATGGATGTTGGACCAGAAATGAGTCCTTAAGGGATGGGACCCCAAACCTGCCTGGAGGGCTTCTTGTGACGTAGCAGCAATGGCGGTGAAACTCCTTAGAATGTAATGAAAGTGCGAGAGGCAGATGACGCAGCAGGTCTAATGTTTAGTCCCCGTCAGCTGATAATCAAACAGCAACAGGTGGAGCAAATGATATATTTTCACAGCCTCTAAAAGTTGTGAAAGACATTACAGCACATTTTCTAATTAGATTCGGCCACTACATGCCATGTGAAATAAGCGATAATGAATCTATATTGTGCTCCAACAATCATTGGCCTTTCAGTTTGGATCTCCTTAGAAAAACATCTGCGTGTTGCGCATATAGAAGTTCAGCTTTCTTGTCCCACCCGCTGGTTTAATTCACTGCCATTTGTACTGGGAGGAGCCATACAGTAAATAACAAACTGGCAGTCAGTATAGTCACCAGAGGTTTACCTGCCAGTTGTTTTTAATTACAGTGACGAGGTCACACTGTAACCAATGGTAGTGTAATCAAGCTCAGCTCACAGAGCTACCTATTACCTGGCCATAAGAAGACGCTTCAGTGCTGGTGCTAGGAGGGGCCTCTCTCTTCACTTCAGGGGCCGTTTCAGGAACACGAACCCTCACAAAGTTGATGACATGATGCAGATTGGAGAGCAGGTTTGTGCCAGGGAACCAGCTGTCATGGCAGTGCTCCTCAATGCAAGGCTCCTGGAAGCATAAGATCCGGTAAGACACTAGAAGTCTGGATAGTGAGAAGCAGGGTTGTCACTCAGAAATCAGTAACTCACCTCATCCTCCTTGTTGTCTTGAACCTGGTTGTCCAAGCCCAGCTCGATCAGGTACAGCACCATGCACAGCACATGCTCCGACATGTTTGAATGATCCATCCATATCTAGAAAAATGAGGTTTATACTTAAAAGCAGACAAATATCATCCCCCTCACCACTGTTGTTACGACCAAACAATAGTTAATACTCGTCTTTTCTTTCTACATTACGCCTGTGTAATCATTGCCAAGTGATATTACAGGCTCACCAATTAAATATGGCGCACAGTAGCACTTCTAATTTAGCTCAAGGAGTTCATTGAGATGCAAAATCAGCCCTGTGTTATATCACATGAATAGTCGTAAAAAGAAAAGGTTCACCTTGTACAGGAGAGTGAATATCACGATGTGCAGCGTCTTGCAGTGCAACAGCCTGATTAGGCCTTTGTAACACGGATGCAGAGCGGTCCTCTCCTTGTAAGGTGGCCATGGGTTGCCGGTGTGCATGCCGGACTGTTTTAAGCTAGGTGACATAACCATCAACAAGAAAGGAATGATCAGAGGAATAACCGAGTAACACACAGAAACCCATAAGGGTGAGAGCTAGCTTACATTCAACAGAATGGTTGTAAGACGATGAAAGAAAAGAGTTTAATGAAGTGACATCTTACATTGTTCAGAGAAATTCACTGTAGAAAAGATTTTAGTCTATGCAACACAGTCGCTCACTATATCAGCGATGATGGGATCATTGTTATATAGAACTACGGCCAGCCTGACAGGCAATCCATCATATTCACACAGTGCGAATGAGCAACATGAGGCTGGTATCAGACTCTGAAGGTGGCAATGGCAGCTTCAATATGTTTCAAGGAGAAATATGCCTTTGTTTCATCTGGTTTAGAAGGCCTAGAAAAACCAAATGTAATCTATGTTAGAGAAATACAATTAACTACTTTAAAGCTATACCAAAGAAAGGCCTAAAATCTCATTATAAAAAGGTTATCTTCCCAACTTCTACTTCAAAACACAGGCGCTCTCAGTGAGAGACCCGTCGTTATAATTAGCATCTTCACACATTCCGACGACTATGAAGAAAATTAACCCCAAGGTGTCTCCTTCACCTCTGTGGACATGTTTGTCTTGGGAGATGTCTGTACCACAATCAAAACAAGAAAGATTTCCTCAATTCTATTACAATTTAGACTGAAATATTGATTTTTCTCGACAGCCATCTAATTGGAACCAACTTGAGCACCCGGTAGACCCGACCTTTCTTATCACGTCCCCTCATGGGCAGGAGAGAGAGAGAGAGAGAGAGAGAGAGAGAGACTACGACACTGAACAGAGCATGATGCAGGTTGCTTTGGTCAGGGATGACAACAGTGTTGACTTACAATGCAGAGTATCTGTCCATTGCTGACTGGACGTCACGCCGATAGACCGTTCTGAGGACGACCATGATGGGGTCAAACTCCTTCTCCCACACCTCCGCTGGTTATGAAAAAGGGAGAGAAATGTTTTGTAACCTCTGGTACGAAGTGACATTGATTCACTTTCTCCATGTGAGTGGTGTAAGGCTGCCCCCAAGTGGTCTGCTGAGGACTGATGACATAGTGCTCAAATCTTTCAGGGCTCATTTTTATCATTTGGACTAATTTATCTATTGTGAAAATCACCCACAGTTGTTACTGATGTTCTCTGTCTCTGGGGCGTAGCTGCAAAATGTGACTCTCACTATGACAGGACAGTGATGTACTTGGTATGAGGAAGAACTACAGTGTGCTACTTCAGCCTCGGCATCTGTGCGGCACGCCGCCGCTCAAAAAATCCTTGTTCTCTTCGTTTGTGTTACGTTTCCAACACGGACATTGGCGTCCCAAAACGATGTGTCCAGAGGATGTTCTAGCATAACCAACACGAGACACTTCTGGGACATCAAACAGGTTACTTTGCTACAATGGACTGTTAATAAATCTACCTTTTGGTGTGTACATGCCCTGCTGCATGGAGCCTCCAGGCTCGAACACCGGTGCTTTGAAGTCAGCCACAGCAGAGAGCATCTCCTCGAAACTACAACTCCCCGGAACAATACCACTCTTTGGGTTGGGATTCTCAGGAATCTAAGAAAACACTCTTAAGGAAAAACAAAATTGCCGTGGATGACCGAGTATAATTTCTCTTTAACACCATCGTATTGAAGGATACAAGGTCTAACAGCGCGCTGTGTGTACGGTCATTCATACACAGCTGCGAGACCATTTCACCCCGAAGGATCTCATCATCCGTCATCCCTGTTAGTGAGAAGTAGAAGACAAACCGATAAAGATCATAGCCATCAATCAAATACCAATTAGCAGAACTCAAAGTCTGGAGGAGTTTAAGCTTGTTGTGTCTTTTAGTCCGTTGAAGTCATAGTCTGCCTGTGACCACAGTTCCTTTAAAATAATGCTGCTTTATTTCACCAGAGGCTTATTTTACTATAAAGGCTTACTTAGGCTTGTGTTATTATATTGTAAGCGGTTTGTTAATTTCCTCCTCTTACTCTCTGTAGACTGTGTGCATCCTCTGTTGCACCACTTACCCAAATGAACACGAAGGCTCGTCAATATGACCAAGAAGGTCAGCGCTCCTTCAAGCATCGGCCTCTCCTGCTCAGAGTCCAACACGGCGTTCTGATGCTGGGACGCCATGGTCAACAGGTCGACCACTTTGAACCTGTGCGACAGAAGCCAGCATTGCATTAAAGTTGTAAAACATTACATGAATGCACGTGTAAGAGTGAAAGCTTACCTCTCAAAAACACTTGAGATAAAGTAGTCAGGATCTAGTCTTGATGCACAAACCTGTAAAAGAAAAAAGAAAAATAAATTAAAATAGGAATAGAAAATGAACACAATGATTATTGTTAAAACGGTATACGAGTGACACCGATAGTTATCTGTGATAAAGCAATACACACCTGGAGCAGATAGATGTCTGGGTCGATCATGGAGTTGCAGAAGTGGGATTGCACGTAGGTCATGGCCTGTCCCTTGATCTGCAGACCATTCCTGACCCACATGTTGCTGTGGATCTCTGACAGGGATGCCTACAGCCATACATAGCGACATTTTAGTTAACATGTGGCTACAGACTTGGCAGAGAATATAGATATGAATAACAACCACATATCTGTGTATGGGCCGAGTGTTATACCTGGATTTGGAGCGGATGCACCATGATCTTCATCAGAATCTCTTGGTCAGGCAGAAGGCTATCCAGGTCCAGGCCTTGGCACTTTACAGCCTGAGAATTTTTAAACAATTATCTTGAAAAACACACAAGTAAATACTATAGAATTATGTCTTAAGAGATAAGAGCTTCTGACATACCTTGCTGAGGAACATGGCATAGTACCGGTGCAGTGGCAGGTGAAATGTCACTTGATTTGGAGCAGGCTGTAAGAGATTTAAGAGCCATGAGAAACAGGTGGGGAGAACGCCTGGCTTGTAAACACAGTGGTTTTCAATATACCTCGTCAATAAAGCCAATGGAATCGAACCAGATCTGCAAGGTCTCCAAGCAGTAGCGTACCACCGTTTTACTGTATTCCTGCGTCTCCTGTTAACAGACAATTTATGTTAAACCCCCGATACGGACGTCAGACAGGAAGTGCCAGGAAGTGTTCCATTAATCATTCCTCAGGAATGCACACAGGAGATGTGTGTGAGAGGAGTCCGAGTGTAAAGACAGACTTACTTTGACTTTGCAGTGTGTCAAGAGGCCCCACATTGGTTGCGCACAGGCCTCGAGCTCTGCTGCAAACGCTGCATAGTACGTCTGAGACTCAAATTCCACATGTTCAGTCAACTCCCGCTTATTCAGGTTCATGCCTATCACAGCAGGGAATGGTTTAGAATGTTAGACGGTCACCACATGTTACATAGAGCCCTGAATATACTTCTTTGATCATGCAAATATTAAAATGCCTGTGTATGCGTGTGTTGCTATTTTAGCAAATACGTTTCTATTCTTAGAAATCAAATGCATCTGATGAAAGCCAAATAAATCTCTATTAAACACAGGAATTTAAAGCAGGAGCAGTGCTGCAGACATGCATACGATGTAATAGTGACACTGCACATTAAGTCAGCAAGAGAATACTCCAGCCCACTTTGAAAAGGGTGAGTGATATTTTTAGGGACGTGGTGGTAGAGCAGACACGGCAAGAGAGCAGCACTAACCACAATCCTAATTCAGTGACACAGTCATTTAGTGAGGTCTGTCTCTGCCTGACGAAGCATACTGCTGATACATAAAGTTTAAATCACGTGTTGTGTTTGACCTCATGGAGAGGATGCTTTGGGATCCAAGAGCAACACCTGCTTCATGACCATTAGTCTCAGATATACAGCAGGGCAACTAGAGTAGCAGTACTAGATGCTTAGTTCTGCATTCAAAGTTTCAATTTATTGTGGAAATGTTTTCCAAAATTGGTGCACGGGTAACAAATTGATGAGACTATGACTTACCTTGGAAAAATGACACGAAGCTCATCCACAGCATCAACAATGAATGGTCCTCGAGGAACTTTTTTGCTACACTTTGGTGAGAGAGGATGTTAATAAAATCACTAACTAACGGCCAGTAGGTGTTGTTCTTCAACAGAGCTTCACTGCAGTTCACCACAACATGGCGACTGTTCTCCTCATCTAAAGGAAGAAACAAGAGACAAGAAAACGCAGACAGGAAGTTAATTTTGGCTCACTTTGTATTTAGTCATTTAAAATCAAAAAGAAAAAGGGACAACTATGTGGAGAAAGACAATACACTTGCATCTGACACATTTGGACAACTTACCCTGAAGTTCACTTTTAATAAGGCAACTCTCCATCATGTAGAGGAGGACTGTGACCATGATGTCCAGCAAATGACACTCCTCCGTCACGTGTCGAGCCAGCTCCTCGTTGCTGAACAGCTGCACACTAATATGTACAATGCGGTTGGACATGGTGTCTGACTCGTGGCTTTTCATCAGTGTTTTCATGATGAACGCATAATGCTGAACAAATGTTTTTGTAAATGTGATCTGCCAGAGAGGAATAGAAAAGCCAATATTAAGGCTTACTGTAATGATGCTGTCGCTTTTAAAAAAAAAAAAAAAAAAAAAAAAAAAAGATATATATATATATATATATATATAGATATAGATATAGATATATATATAGATATAGATATATATATAGATATATATACCTGAGTCTATATCATGACATCCAAAGACATTTTTGTTACAACAGAAGGCCAGACGTGCATCTAAAAGTGATAAAAGACTTGCATTTCTGCAAATGAAGGGAAGTAAGAGAGAGAAAATACCTTGTAATCTTGATCTGGCAACATGTTTAGTAGGAAAGTGACCATCTTCTGAGGAAACTCGTATTTTATTGTCCAAAACAGCAACTCCTCTAGAAAGCACTTGTGCTTCAGAGTTTCAATAATACACTGGTCTGAGGGCAGAAAAGGCACACGGTAAGATGGACGTTTCATGGAACATGTACTCGGGCATTATATTTTCTTTACATTTACCTTTGGTACTGCTGCTCAGCTTCACCCGCTTCCTCTGTCCAACAGACTGTCCTGCATCTTGGTCCTCCTGAGAGGGAGTAGAAATGTTTTACAGTTACTTTACATAATGTCATATCAAATTGGTAATTGATTCATCATTTAGCTATGCAAGTTTAAATAAAATGGCCAAATATAAACTGATTTAAGAAATATGTCTATATAAGACAAAATTATGAATCTATTAATAAAAAAAAAAAAATGCAGGAATGATGTATTGTAACTAGATTTAAGTACAAACTGGTTACAATGAGTAAGCTATTCTGTGCGTGATGCTGGCACACACCTCTTTACTCGACTCATCTGGGCTCTCTGGTGCGGTGGTTCCTGAGAAAACCAAGACAAACATTTAGCCAAGTAGCCATTCGCAGCATCTTGAGCCACTAAACAAACACATACAGTTGCCCGAGATATCACAACACGCGAACAGAAATATTCAACATGTGTTAAAATAAGCAATGACACACTGACGTCTGATTCCTTAAAATGTCCAACGGCTGACAGATGGGTATTAAGAATACATTTCATATCAAAGGTAATGTTTATCTCACCCAATAGGACCATTGCTCCTGCACCCCCTTCAGCACCCACTGTGACATCAGCAGTAGCAGCAGCAGCTTGGGCTTTTTCCTCCACAGACACCAGACCTGAATTCTGCAAGGCTGACAGATACTTGTCATAGTTCTTTTTAGCATACAAATTCTCCTCTTGGCCTGCAACGGTGACGCAAAGCAGAAAACGCAACAATTGTTTTAAGTGAAAATATCAAAAGGAAAGAAAACTTGATCGCAAGAAAATATGCAGAATCTAAGTTAAAA